GGCCGCTGCTGGGCACTGGCCCCAGGCAATCAGCCCTGGGCTCCACCACGGCCTAATTAGCTCATTTGCATCATTAGGCATGGGCTTGGGGGAGTGTTCAAAGGGAAGGCTCAGCCAGTTTCAAAGCAAGACTCAAAGACATCTTTACATCCAGAGAGAGACGTGATGGGGAGACCATGGGGAGACAGGGACTGATTGCTGATGGTACCATTTTCCTCAGGAGCTTGGCTAGAAATAGCTGTTAGCCCATTGCCCCCATCCTTCTGGAGTGGCATCCTCCCACCCCAGCTTCTTCTGGGGCTGCTGTGGTGAGCTGGGCTCCCCATTAGGCTGAGAGCACAGTTGGGGTGTTCCAAGCTGCTCCCCAGCACAGTCTGTCCCCCAGCAGCTTGGGAAGGTTCTGCCAGCAGTTGGGGAAGGGTTAATCCTGGAGCCTTCCCAGCCAATTATGCTGGCCTGACCCCATGGATACTGCTCTCCCCTTATCAGAGGGAGATGATAACCAGCTATAAGAAGTTAATGATGCTGCAGGATGAGTCAATGCTTTCCCGCTGCTCTCCAGATGTTCCGATCTCTTCCCCAAGGGAATGATGGAGGGATTCCATCTGCCTGGCACAAATAGAAGGAAGACACCTCAAAAGCCCAACCTCACCCCCCTACCAACCTCCTCATGCACACAACCTGATTGTTCTCCTGCCAGCAGAGCAAGCAAGCAGTGGGGGACCGGTGGAGAGCATCCACATCGCATGGGGGATGAAAAGCAGGAATAAATTTGGGGCTGGGGAAAGGGTGCACACGATGACCACCAGCCCAGAGGGAAAAGCAGCGGGTGCTCCCAGCCTCTTCCCACCTGAATGCCAGACCCGTATCTGGAGCTGACTTAAATACTGACTTAAATACCCTTTCCAGACCTTTTAGGTTTAATTGTCAGGTGATGCTGCAGGGATGTCCTTGTTGTCCAGTCCTTGGGGCTATACCTTCCCATCCACAGGGATGCTACCTGCACAAGGACCTGTACCTTCCCTGGACATGAGTGAGCATTTGAGGCCCCTGGGCACCCCACAGTGTGGGTTCACTGGGGCACTGTGCACCAAATCAGGAGCTATCTCCCCAGCTAGGATTCAGTATCACTGTAACATCCCTCAGCCAACCCACTGGTACCTTGTGCTGGGGACAGGGCACTGCCAGGACATCCCCATCCCCTGCCCATGCACAGCAGCTCCTGGCATCCCCAAACACCTTTCCAGCCGGGTTTCACCCCTGACTTGCACTCAACCAGGGCAAGGGTGCTGCAATCCCCTTCCAAGGGTGCCCAGTGAGGCTGCCTTCCCCTGCCTCTGCTTCCCAAAGCCAGTTCCCTTCCTCAGTTTCCCAGCAGCTACGGGAAGGGATGGCAAAACCTCACCCCCCGTTCACCCCGCGGGGTTTGGCAGGGATGTGTGTCTGCTGCTGTTTATTTACCCTTCTTTCATCACCACCAAATATAAGAGATGAGCTCATGCCTCTCGCCAGGCTCTGATGACACGGGGTTTATTTCCACTGCAGGTATAAATAAAAAGCAGTGCGGCAGGCACCGGGGCGCCTTGTGTTCGGGAGTAAAGTCATTGTGGTGGGGTTAATAGCCTGGCAGGGGGAAAACAGAGCCCCTGGGGGCCTCACACCCCCTCTGGCATCCCAGGGATGGGGATATGCTCCCTCTCTGGGTATCCATGCTGTGATGATGGGGGGAGCGGAGTGCGGATGCTCTCCACTCCATCCCAGCCCTTTCTGCCCAGCAGCAGCAGCCCCGGTGAAGCTCCAGGGCCCACCACCACCACTCGCTAATCCCCACCGAGACCTGACCTAATTCCCGGGCATGTGAGCGTGTCTCCAGGCAGACTGCTCTGCGCCGGGGCCCGCATCAAAGCGCGCAGGATGGCAGGCACAGCACGGCACGCCTGGAGACACCGGCTCCAATCCGCCTCGCGCTGCTGCCGGATTCGCCCCAGCACCCAGGGATGCAGGCAGCTCCATCCCGGCCCTGACAACAGCGGGGGATTTTCATAGTGCTGCCTGTGCACACAGGGAAGGGCCTCAGGATTCATTCATGTCTGCAGCTGGACCCCAGAGTCTGGATCAGAGCATCTGTTATGCAAAATGTGTGAGGGTTCGGTGCTTTGCCACCAAACCGAATGGGTTCAGCCCCATCTGAGCCAACAGAGCACCCAAGGAGCCATGCAGAGGGGGCAGTCTGCAGGATCCCTGTGCCCTATCGCCACTAGAGAGGAGGGATGGGGATGCAGACCATCCCTACCCAGCAGTGGCAGAGCGCTGCCAGACACTATCTGCAGGACAGTGCAGCCATCCCCATGCCAAGCCTCCCCCAGCCTGGATCTCTGTGCTCTGATGGGCTCCAACACCCACCAGCCCGAGAAGCTCCCAGGTTCAATGTCAGCCTTGAGAAGAAGGCTGCCTGGCACATACCAGGGGGAGAGGGGTACAGGCAGGACCCTGGGCAAGCATGGGGTGGATAGACATCACCCCTGGGCACCAAAGGTGCTCATAAACCTCTGTCTGCAAGCACCAGGTGATTTGCCTCATCCACTGTGCTCCAAACAGCTCCTGAACCATACACAGGGGACTGAAGGAGTGCTGGGGGCTGGAAACCCTTGGGGTTACCATGTGGCCCTGGCACGACAGGCACAGAGATGCCCGCAGCCACGCAGCATCCTGGCACTGCGGGGAGCACCGGGTGCAGCCAGGATGAGTGCTGCACTGCTGCTGTCATTTAAAGATGCGCTCTCCTCTCTTTCTGCTGCCCTGCGCTGCATCAGGGCTCCTGCCTGCCTCATCCCCTGCAGTGCTTTGGTGAATCCCCCCCCACGGCCCGTGATGCTGGCTCCTGTGTTCAGCTGTTTCGCATGGCCCCACGCTCCTCTTGGGATGCGAGGGTCTGAACCGAGCGCCAAGTGTCCTAAACCAAGTCATTCCCCTCTGGAGCCGGTGTAAGCTGGCTGTGAGCCCATCCACCCTTCAGTCCCTGCTGCACCCGCCGGCTCTGGTGGCATCTTGGTTCACAGACCCCCCCGTTATCGATGAGCTCTGTCTTTGCTTTCCTGATCTTTCACCTAGAAATATCTTTTCTTGCATTATCCATCACGGAAATACCAAGTTTGGTGCACAGGCTGTGGCCGCCATCCTGCAAGACGTCACTACCACCAGGACAGGCTCAGCTCAGGCTGTAGAGCCACATGGAGCCGTGCTGCATCCAAACCCACTGTGCTCAACACTGCTGCGGCCCCGTGAGGATGGAAAACCTTCATCCCAAAGCCTGGGGGATGTTCAGCTTGGAGGCTGCCTCATCAGGCTTACCCCCATGGGTAGGGACTCTGGAAGGGCCAGGGGTGGTGAAAGGTTTGATAAGCACAACTCAGCCCCAGGGACACAATCCCCAGGGCAACCAGGATCACTCTGACCTGCATGGCTCCTTGTCCCCAGGGAAACCTGCTCCTCCCCACCACAAGTTTCAGTGTCGAAAACACCCTGTTTGCACCTGCATCTTAAGGTTTAGGGGTTAGAAAAGCAACACCCAAACTCCTACAGCCCCTGCTCCTTCCTTGCACTCCCTAGCACTTTTCTTGCCACCTCTGCCAAACACCAGCATGATTTGGGTATTTGCAGGGAAGCTGAAACCCCCAGCGGGAACCCGGGTTTCCCCTCAGCCGAGACACAGTTCAGTTCCAGCCGCTGCCAGCCCCGGCTCTGATTTCTCCTTGTTCCCTAAAATGGAGCTTGACTTTTGCAGGCGGGCTGGGAGAGATGGGGTGCTGCAGGGATGCATCACCAGGAATGCAGGAGGAAGAGAAACACAACCCTCCCTTCTGCCATGGGGCATGCAAACTCCCATTTTTCGGCAGAGATATTTAACTTCACCAAATGCAATCCAAGGGCTTGTATGGCCCTTGGTGCTCTCCTGATGAATGCTCTCCTGTCCTCCCCAGACCACTAGAGACCTGGGGCAGCACCACTGGGTCTCTGGTCCGCAGGAGGCTTTGTGGATGCAGGCTGCCAAGCCTGTGCTCTGCTGGGATGCTTGGCCCTATTAGGAACATCATCCCCATCCTATTTGCAGATCATCCCTCTGGGAGGGCTGAGCATCTTTAGCTGAGGTAGCAAGTGCGTGACATGTCCTACCCCCTCCAGCCAGCTCTGGGGAACTCTGGCTTTGCCCAGCTCAGTGTTCCTGAGCACAAAGGGCAGCCACCTGGTAATAAAAGAGCTTATTTAGGTCCCAGGGGAGATGGGGGGCTTGGGAGCTTCGGATCCCTCTGGGCTGCTGGGGATTTACCAAGCTTTCAAATGGTTTGAAAACCATGATGGCAATTCCCTGCCGGGTGCTGTGTCCTGCAGTGGGAGATGAAAACCTGGACGGACCCAGCAGCACCAGCCCAGGCTCTGGCAAAGCCAGTGGATTTTGACCCTGGGCTGTGGTTCTCTCCCAAGACTGGACGGGAGGATTTCGATAGTGACTGCTGTGGGGCTGCCGGGGAGCCTTGTGCCTGCTTGGGATGCTGCGGGATGAGCAGAGGATCCGTAACTCCTGCGTGCTCGGAAAGCAAAGCATCCTCCCGGTGCTGCTGTCAGTGCCCCTGCCCAGCCTGGGCACCAGTGCCCAGGACAGCCGAGACCGCGGGGATTGCTCTGCGGATCCTTTCACCTCCTCAGCCGGCAAATCTGGGCCGGGGGACGCGGCTGTGCTCAAGGACACCCCTTCCCCTGCCTTCCCCACACCGCAGCAGGGGCTTCTGCAATGGGAGAGGCGCGGGTGTGGGGTGCACCGTGCCCCACATCACCCCCGGGCGAGCAGCGCTGGGACCCGCAGCACCTCTTCCCCTGCATCCCTCCCTTCTCCGCAGCCCGGGCCCGGCGGGGACTCGTCTCCCGGTGCGCGGGGAAGCGATGAGGTCATGCTGCTTAATATAGCGATTTCATCACAGCCCTTCTCCCCAGCAACACGGCCCGGCTGCCGCCGGCTCCCGGCGCTGGCAGAGCCACCGGTCGGCCCCCCCGAGCCGAGCCGAGCCGAGCCGAGCCGGGGTGCCCGGCTCCCGCTGTGCTGTGTCCCAAGGGCAGGCGTGGGGGGGACGCGGTGGCACAACCGGGCCGTGCCTGGAGCCACAGTGCCGCCCGCCGGGCACCGCGGCCCGGAGGAGAGAGATGCTGGACGCAGCCCCCCCCAGCCCAGATTGGAGCGGAGCACTGGATCCGTCACGTCCCCAACACCCCCGTGCTATTCCAGCCGTGGATTGCGGAGCAGCGGTGGGAAGTGGGCTTTCCCTCCTCCCCATCCTGTTCGTGCCCGTTCTCCCCAAAAATAAGCTTTGTTTTCCCCTTTTCTCACCCACAAGAGGCTTTCTCTGTGCCCTCTTTGCAAGCAGGAGCCCTACAGGTTTGCAAAACAAAATCTTTTTCTCCCTAAACGATTAATAAGGGATTCTAGTGAAGCGCCCCAGCCCCACACCTGCATCACGCTGGGGTATTGGGGGAATTGAGGGAGTTTGCATGGAGGCAGGACCTTACAGAGCTGTAAGAAGGCTGGAGGCAGTAATCCATCCCTGCTGTGCCTGGTTACATTGCTCGTCTGACGGCAGCACCCCCAAACTCTCTTCCCTCCTGGGATATGGGGGATGATGTGGCTCTGGGACTTACCCGTCAGAAGAGCCTGCTTCAGCTCAGCATCCCCCAGTGAGCTGGGCCCGGGTCTGTAGAGCACCTCGCTGTCGAGACCTGAGGAGCAGCCAGGAGAGAGGGGTCAGTCCTGAGCCCCACATTCCCCCCTCCAACACAATGCAAGTGGGCAGGGACTCAGACCACCCCCTCCCTTGCCCTGCCCTGCCCAGGGTATGGGGTGTGTGGGGAGAGGTTTGGCTTTAGTGATGCCCTTGGGGCAACTCCAAACACGGACATATATGAGCCATGGAAGGACACCATACCTTGTTTTTCCAGTGCCTCGATGAGCCTGGCCACAGTTGGCAGCGCCTGCTCCGGGAGAGTGGGGTGCTCAGTGAGATCTGCCTGCCCAGGGAGCCCTGTGATGGAAAGATGTGGAGAAAGGGCTTGGAAACTCCTGCCTGCAGGAATTCCAGCCTCTTTCCTCAGCTGCACCAGGACAAGATCAAGCTGCTGCTTTGGCACAGCCACAACCAACACTCAGGCTCATGTGTGTCCAATTTTGGAGAACTTCTCCCTTATTTTATCCTCTTTCTGCAGTAAGAGTCACTGCTGGGGGCTGAGCTGCTTGCTGAGATGAAGAGATCTGCCCTAACCCATGCCCTTCCCATGGGGAGCATCCCACCCTGAGCATGGCCAAAACCCCTTCCCCACCCCTCCTCCTATGGCACCCCTCTCATCACCCACAGCCCTTAGTGCCACCAGGCAGGAACTGGGGGCCAGACCCATACCCACTACACACAAGGCTCCCTGCAGCACTCACCCGCTTGGATTCTCCAGTGTCTGCAACAGGGTTAAGCACAAGCCCAGGGAGGCTCCCTATCACCCCTTTCTGTGCAGGTTATACCCAATGGAGACCCTGGCAGTGCAGTGCTGGATTTAACACACACACACACACACACCCCATAGGTCCTGAGCCCCCCAGAAGGCAGCAGGCAGGGAAGAGCTGGCAGGGGCTGCCATCGGCTGCAGCACATCAGAGCTGCGTGCCACCGCCAGGGTACGGACGGCATCTGGAAATGCTGATGTGCCAAGAGCCCTTTCCCTGGTTTATGTGGCAAGTGGGTCTGTTCAGCTGGAAATACATAAAACCCCTTATAGCTAATTAAATAAAGCCTGAATGTGAGTTTTTCCCCCAGCGACGCACACTCCAGAGCAGCCAACTCCCCTGTTAAATTCGGTCTGTCTTTGGCTTTTGCTATGGGGCAGAAGGCAGGGAGCTCATGTGTGAAGCCAAGGAACCCGTAACAATTTAAGGAATGAAAAAGGCAAAGAAAAAATGGGACTTTGGACAAAAAGAAAGTGCCTTTTGCAGAACCACAACCTGGCTGCAGTGCATCCAGACTCTGATCTTTGCCATGGTGATGCCCTGGTGCTGCCTGGAGAACAGGGAGGGATGCAAACCGCTGCTCAGCGGTGGCTGATGCAAGCCTAGCAAGAGGGTCCCCTCTGCTGCCCAGTGGGGATGTGTGGAGATCCTGGGTGGGAAAAGGGAAGATTTCAGGTTTAAAAGCAAAGTGTGTGGTTGGGAACTCATGGAAAACGTCCCCATTGCATGGGTGGATTTTTAATTAGGGAAAACTGGGCTTTGGCCTCCAAGCTGACAGGGAAAAGGTGCTGACTGCAAAAAATGTCTGTTTCTCCGTACTATTAACAGCAGGAATGGTCCCAAGTTCACGCTGGAGCTTTAGCCCGTCCTGTCCCTGCAGAGTGCCAGGCTGGAACCCAGCATCCTGATGCACCACTTTCTCCAGCCCTGCGTGAAGTGGAGGTGATGCCACCCAGGACAACCAGGCAGGGGCAAAACATCTGAACCCCTTGGCCCCACTGCAGAGACCGTTGTAGGATGTTATTTAGTGCACATAAAGACCATTCCTCCCAGCAGAGCCAGCCCTGGCTCCAGGGCACGGCTGGGTGATGCAGGGTCTCTCTCCCATTCAGGGGTCACCCCATAGCTTCATCCTTCTCAGGGTCCCTGGGTGGCAGAGGGGCTTGATGGGCACTAAGTGCATACAAGGCAGCACATTGCCATTGCAGAAGAATAATCATTTGGGGTGGCCAAAGAGCCACGTCCCTCAAAACCTCCATCTGGGAATGGAAAAAATATGGGGAGAATTTTCCAATAGTATTAAAAAATGACCAAAAAAATCCCTTTTCCGTCAAGAGGACGCTGAGGTTTTTACTGTAAGGGAAACCTCACCAGGCAGGAGGTTTGGGTTTAAACAGACATCAAACGGTGCACGCCGCTTTGCTGCTGCAGAAAGACATGGTCGTGGGCCACGAGCATCCCCTGGTAAGGTGTCTGCACACCCTGGGCAGTGGGGCCGGACACAAGGCTGTGGCCAGAGCATGTCCTGCAGATGGCAGCACCCTCCTCCCTCTGCCCCAAACCCTGGGTCTGGAGGAGTTCTCCTATTCATAAAAAGGGGAAAAAATAAATCTCAGTTTTACACTTTTAGGGGGCTATCCTGGCCCCTTATGCACCTTACGCATGGGCCAGGCTGCGCTTTGCTGCTGAGGATGTGCCTCAGTCTGTGGGGCACCAAACACCCCTGGGTACCTCTCACAGCCCCTTGGGGAGGAGCCCATTAGCACCCTCTGCGTGGGGCAGGCATGATGCAGCGGTGATGGGCGGCAGGGTCGGTAGCAAGAAGGAAGCTTCATACTTCTCCTTGGCAAATGGGGGCTGGAGAGCCCTTGGGTCTGCTCCTGCTTGAGTTCTCCACACTGCGGCACCAAGTTTGTTAGGGTTCTGCAGGCCAAACAGCCAGGGGCAGAGGGTTCCTCATGCACCACTGAGCTTGACTGGGAAGGCAGCTCAAGCCCCTTGTCTGCCAGGGTAAGCACCCCCAAAATGTGCCCTGCTCTCTCCTGCGAAGGCAGCACATAGCTGCTCACTGAGTCTCAGCAGAACTGCTAGGACTGTGGGTGCCTGGGTGCACTCAGAGCATCAGTCGTGGAAGAACACCCGTGTTGCAGTGAGGGGATGCACAGAAGGGTCCCAGCATCTTCCTTGTGCTGTTGGAGGGGTCCGAACTGCTGGACCCACATGTCAGCCCCACATGTGGTGATGGATGGTGTCAGGGAAGGAGCTGCCCCATGCCAGCTGAGTCCTGCTGTGCTCAGCCCAGGGGCGAAGTGGTCCTCACCCTCTTAAATCACGGTGGCAAAGGGACCTTGAACCATATTTTGGAGGGAGATGGACTCCTCATCAGTGGGTGCTCCTCTAAACCCTGGTCCAAGGTACCTCCGATGCACAGGCAGCATCAGAGGTGAGCCTCTCCTGTTACACATCTGTGCCTTGGTCCCAATCTGGTTGAGGTGGGTGTCTGAGGCATCAGATCATGAACTGGGCAGCCTCGGAGCGGCTGTCTCTAAAGGTGATGCTGCTCTCCCGAGCCCCAGGCGCACACAGAGCCATTCCTCCTATTGCTCCTCCATCACATCCCAGAGAAAGCAAGCACCATTGCTTGGTGTAACTGGGAGGGGGGGTTCTTTGGGGTTTTGGTTGATTTTTAGCTCAGGTACGTTATGCAACTGCTGTGCAATTCCTCCCAGCCCCAGCGCACTTGGCTGCGGTGAGTGGCGAGGGCAGAGCTGGCTGCAAGAACCCAGCAGAGAAATGCCCGGAGGTCCCCATGCCAGAAGGGCCCTGCTGAATTCCCCCCCCTCCCCAGCACTGCGCCACAACCCCCAGGGATGGAGAACCCCCCAAAGAAACACCCCCGTTGCTTGCTGAGATCATCCCCTGTCCCAGTGTGCACACAGTGACAGTGAGGCCAGGAGCTGGCTGGGGGCCAGCGCTTGCCCGGGCACCGAGAGCAGCCGGATTCGGGTGCCGCAGTGATGGGGAGAAGAGCAGTTGGGAAAGGAGATTCCCAAGGACCACCATGGGGCTTTCTGCTCCTTGCTGGGGGGGGGGGGGCAAAAGGCTCCTGCATATTCTGTGCTCTCATAGACACAGACCCCCTTGGACGCAGCCAGCCTGGGATACTGGTGAGGAGCAACCCCTGCAGTGTGTTTGCCTGCAGGGGGTAGCGATACCCTGGGTACCCCCTGTCCCTTCTGCAGCTGCCTCAATGCACCAGGGCAGGTAATTCCTAGGGCAGCTTTGCCTTCTGCGGCTGGATCCCCATCCCGAGGGTGGATCCCCACCGAACGCAAGCACCCACCCGCGCTCCACGCCACCCTCACCACCTTGCATTGAGCACCCACCCATAGGATCCCACCTTCCTGCTCCCCTAGCACTCACCCCAGGGCGCAGAGGTCCCAGCGGGTGGCGGGGGCAAGGGCCGTGGCCTGGCCTTGGTGTTGGAGGTGACGATGCGCGTGGGACCCAGGTACTCCACGTAGGTGCCGGGGAAGTCTCCGCGCTCTTTGGTGCGCTCGTTGAGGCCGTGGAGCCAACCCTGGGGGCTGCGCTCGTCCCCGTCCTTGTAGCTGGGGCTGCTGAGCAGCCCGGCCCTGCTGACCGTCAGCACATCCCCGGGGCTCAGCGCCAGGTCCTCCTCCCGGTCCTTCTGGTACTCATAGAGTGCCCGGTACTGCAGCCCATCCGAGGAGGCCATGGTGATGCTGTGTGGTGTGGGGTCACGCTGCCTGTATCCAACCAGGCATTAAGGCCTGGGGTGCTCACACAGAGCAGGTATGGCAGTGCTGGGGCAATACGGTGCGGATGGGAGTGTTCCCTTCCCTGCACACGCAGAATAGGAATGCCAGTGTTGGAAAACCTCAGTGTTGAAGAGCGGCTCCTGACACCTCCAGCCCTGGAATGGCTGCAGAGCCAGTTCAGTGCCCAGGGCTCAGCAGTGTTGGCTCAGGTGTGGGTAAGGAGCCTTTTCATCACCAGGGCAAACAGAGGGGAACAAGAGAGGCTACTTGGGGTCCAAATGTGCCATCCTCTTCTCAGCCTGGTCTCATCCGCATGGTGCTGGGACCTCCCTCTCTCTGCCAGAGAGAAAGGCAGTGTCTTAGCGACCAAATTGCTGTCTAATCCCCAACCCACCACCTTATCCCCCCATCCCAACCTCCGGACACCGGGGAGAGCCCAGCGGCTCGCTCAGCTCCTGCTTCCCAGGGATCTCCCGCCGGCAGGGCTCGGCCGCTGCACGCAAGGAAAGTACCGGCAAGAGTCTGGAAAGTAGGGCAAGAGATCACGCCACGGGCTTTTAAAATAGACATATGGGCTGAGAAACCGCCTGCCGCACGCAGCTCCCCTCCGGCAGCTCCAGCCTGGCACTGCTGCACGGAGCCGGCGGATGGAGACGTAGGATTTTGGGGTGGATTTGGGGTTTTTCCTTCCTCTTTTTTTGGTGCATTTATAGATATTCCTCCAGGAGATACATCTTCCCCGAAGGGTGGTGGGGTGGGGATGCTGTGCTGCTGCCAACCCGCTGCCCTCCCGCTCCCCGCAGGACCCCGGCGAAGAGGGATGGATGGAGGGATGCTGCTGAGCATCGGCAGCGGGGCCGTCCGTGTGTCCATCCACCCGCCTCCCGGAGCCTTCCCGCTGCCCCCTCCAGCCTTACCGGGCGCGGCGGCTCCCGCGGCGGGAGCGGAGAACGGGAGCGGAGCCCCGGCCCCGCCGAGCCGCTCTCCGGCGGTGATGTCAGCGTCCCTCCTCCCCGGTAGCCCCGCAGCGCGGCGGGGGGGGGGAGCCCGGCTACCGGGGAGGGGGGGAATGGAAGGAGGAGGTGGATGATTTCATCCCCAGATGCAGCATCTGCTCCCAGATTGCCTCCTCTGTGGTTGGAGAACCACAGCTGGGGGGGCTCCATCCGTCCTTAGGGATGCTAAATGGGACCAGCGCACCATGAACCTCCCCCCATAGCAGGCAGCTCTCCCTGCCTACCCACAGAGGACCCCATCCCTTAGCCAGGTACAAAACACACACAGGACAAGGCAGGAGCTGTCATGGAGAATCCCAGCCCAGGAATTCCTCACTCTCATCCTGAACATTTAAATGGTCCTCAGACCCAGCGTATGGACTGGGTACCACATAAAGCATCACAAGGTGATGCTGCAGGAGCTCCCGCATCCTTAAACGTTAACAAAGCAACAGCTAAAATTTAGTGGGGCAGAGAACTTGGAGGGGGCTGGCAGGGTTCATGGGGAAGGGGCCAAGCT